AGCTAATGTTAGCTCTGGTGTCTGTACCAGAACTGTTGAAGCTAATGTTAGTGTAAAAATAACAAATGTGAAATTTTTCGCAAACCCAGCCAAAGGATGAAAAAAGTGCGACCTATAGTCCAGAAAATACGGTAATTTCTATAAATGTTTTGCTTTGCAACAGTGCCCTCCAAATGACATGGATTTCGTATACACTACGATAAATTCTTGCACAGATCCTATGGTGAGTTCCCTTGTAATACCTGCTGCCAGTTTTTAATGTTTGCTTTGAGCCACAGTCCAGGATTGGATGCTGTTCCGTGGGTTTACAGATCCATCAGGGACTGACTGGGCAGAGATCTGCTCATTCATTGTGCTGTCCTCCAGTGTCACCGCAGACAAGCTGAGCTCCGAGAAGAGCCAGTCTGAGTCAGGCGGTGTGTGTCGGAATAAATTCACGGTGTCAACAGACGACACACGGAGCGCAGGAGTGTTTGTATATTTATGTATATTTATGTAAATGTGGTTCTTCTGTGACAGGACGTCTCAGTTTCTCTATGTTAATGAAGCCACATTTGATCAATGGAACTCCCAGGGAAGAGACATCTTCATTTGTTTGAGTTTGTTCAATATAGTAACAATTTCAAAGTCTCTGTGTAAACTATAGGGGGTGCTTTGTGTCCGACAGGTAAAACCTACAGAAAGAAAGAGTAGGTATTCTGACAGTTTATTAAACCAAATGAAACTTTTTTTTTTTTTTTTTAAAAGGATGTCTGTGGACCACACGGTGGAGTGGTAAACCGGCAGGACACCTGACAACAACCTGTGCTTCAACTGTAAACGTTTCACCCAAGTGAAAGTGCAGAGCCGAGAATGAACCGAGATGTTTGTGGTCCGTAGTTAAGTCAACACTACTCAGATGCTACCAAGTTATATGGCTTCACTGCTGTTGTTGTGCTAAATGTGCTAAATGAGAAACGTGAAGCTAGCACCGACGCAGAGCCAGATTTTGGGCGTTATATTCGTCTGTATTTGTTTGTTGTTTTTTTTTTCTCGTCTTCCTGTTGATCTGCTGACAAGGACATTTCCATTTTCCATTTCTGCGTCTTGAATTTAGCAGGTAGCTCATTTAAAACTTGATGAATGCCCCTGTTCCTGGACCAGGTGTAGGTTTGTGAGATGTGACTGTTTGTGTGAACAGCATTTCTATTTCCTGCCTGTTCCGCTCAATTTGTGGGAACAAAACTATCACCAGAAGGAGAGAATAATGTGGAGGGAGAGCCCTGGAGAAAACATAACCACTGCAGTCTTTTTCTGCTGCTGCCCAGGGCGTCCATCTGCCTCTTTGAGTCTGAACCAGTCCTCGGTTTATTTGTCATTTCTGATTTCCTGTTGATGCCTGTGGAATACAATCAGTGTGGATGATCGGTCTGCTCTTTGTTTCTCTCCCACAGAGAGGTGGATCAGCTCATAACTGTGGACAGCTGAAGGTGGGTCAGGTGATCTTGGAGGTGAACGGGGTTTCCCTGAGGGGGCGTGAGCACAGGGACGCAGCACGCCTCATTGCCGAAGCCTTCAAGACCAAAGAGAGGGATTACGTGGACTTCTTAGTGACGGAGTTTAACGTGGCGCTATAGCCAAAAGGAGGAGGAGAGCGAGGAAAAGGTGTGAGGATGTGGGTGCGAACTCGGAATAAAATGGCACAACACAAGACAGAATGCAGCCACCGCGTTTCCCATCGTCCCTCCGAGTACAGACAAAGGAAACCTAAATTTAAAGATTCGCCCCCACCTCCCATTTCCAACTGTCTCACCTTACCCCACGATGAAATACAACGACAGATTACTTTATCCTGAGTTTCTGTAGCACTCCCTTGATCCATCGCTCTGATTATTCATTTTATTTTCTTATTTATTTTATTTAATGACTTATTTATGTCTCTTCTTTCGCTGAACGTCTGAGACTTCCTGTTTCCCGTTGGTGGGTTTGTTCTGTTACTGTAAAAAGATCTGAACAAATGTAGATACAGATGCATATACGATGTACACACAAAGATGCTCCTATATGAATTCTAAAAACCCTGTATCCTCTGTTGCATCAACATAAAGTGATATATGGTATTTCAAATCCACTGGTACTGTTCTGTCAGCTCTTCTGCACAGTTGGCACCGTTGCACATAAACGGTACCTGAGACATTTAATATACACTAACGACTAATATTAACAATTAACATTTCTTATTTTTACCCTCGTGTCTCCTTGTCTCCTTCATTCTCAAAGTAGCTGTTCTCACCTTCAAGTTCATGAATGTCCATCATCGGGATCACGCCATCGGCCAGCCGGCGTCGTCACCACTCTCTGTAGCACCTGCTGGAGTGGTGGAGGTGGATTTAAGCCCATATATTTCAGGATACGTTCAAATCAAGCTCCTGCACTTATCAAAATACTGAAGAGTACTAGATATTTAGATTCAAATGAAATACATATCTGCTGCATGTTCATTTTCTACCGTTATTAAAAATTGAAGGAGAGCAGAACCTGGACTGATGTAACGTTAGGTAAGACTAGCAGCAGCACTCACTGGTGACCGACCAGGACAAAGTCGGAGCAGCTGAAACCTCAACAGAGTTACTTCAAAGATGTCTGACTTACAATTTGTTCATCTAAACTGAAAGTATGAGTTTAGGTCGGGCTCACAGATTGCCACTTTTGGGATGTTGGGTCAGTCAAATCTCCTTAGACTGCTGGCTAATCTTCTTGCAGGTACCTGATGTTAGTGACTAAAACCAGTTCAGACTGGTCTCTTTGTCTCCAACAGGTGTGACCAGTGCTGTCATCATATCTTCATCCAGTGTTGAGCTTCGTTACATTTGACCGTTGGTCCTTTTTAATTGAATCCCCCAAAAAATGAATCACTTTCAAATCTGATCAAACATCCCATTTTAACCAGCTTTAACCAGCTTTAACCAGCTTGAATTGAAACCTGTTCAAATGACTGAAGCTCAACAACAAGCTCTGATCTAGAACCACCTGCAGGTTGGAACCTGGTGTCAAAGGTCGCCCCCCCAGAATTCTACATAGAAGGAATTTTTTGATGGAAACACCACTGAAAAAGGAGAAGACAGACTGATAGAAGATAGATATGTTTCAAGAGGCACCAGTGACTCAGCTGTTGATTGACAGATGATTCACTTATCACATACCTTGATAAAGATTTGTTCTACCTCAGTAAAAGGCTTCCTAATCCAGTAAAGCTGCCGTAACCCCAGGTATGTGATGTCAGCATTGTATGATGTGGGGAGTAATTTACACCAGTGAATCGCTGGTGTGTCATGGATCATTATTTAATTTCACTTCAATTGGTCTGAAAATTATCATTTATTTACTGCAAATAATTAGTGTTTGTTCATTAGGTAGGACAATTAAATACTCTCCTAGTAGGTGACAGCAGATGGCTGTATAAAAATGGATCTCCAAGTGTTTTCTTCAGTTCCTGTGAGTACCTCAGAGTTGTGTTCAACTAAACAGGCCCATCTTTCACTCTGGAGTCAGTAAATTGTGAGTGAATCAGAACTAAAAGATAATTTTATGTCATTACGTACTCATTTTTTCTGGTGGTGCACTACGGGATTTTTCTAATGTAAAATATTTGTCATGGTTGAAAACACAACTTTACACTGTTCTTCATGTGAATGGCCCTAAAACTGGGTTTCATGACATCATTTTTTTTCTGGGGGGGAGGTGGGGGGGTTTCTACATGAAATGACAAATTGTTGTTGGAGCTGCTGGTGTTCCAATGACTCTTCAAATCAATTCAAATTTTCTGTTTTTACTGCGTCACAAAAACTAGATCAAAGCCTCACTTTAAAATTCAGTCTCACTCACTGCCACTGCTCCTGAATAACAATTGATCATTTGTGTTTTATAATTTTTTTACATCCAATTATCTTCTCCCTGAGGTTGTGTGTGTGTGCATGGGGGGTTCTTCACTGACACCCTGTGTAGTGCAGCAATTATGCCGGAGAGGAGGCATTAATGAGACATTTAGAGGACGCCACAGCCGTCACCCAGGGATTTATAGAGACGCAACAGGACTTGGAACCATGTGTGAACAGGCACTCATTTTACCCATTTGGAAGAAAGCAATTAGGAGATAAGAAAGCAGGGAGAGAGGGGGAGAGAGCCAGTAGGTAGACGCAGTCACAAATGAGGGGTAATTGTTGTCGGAGCCATTTATTTCCTTTCAGGAGAAGTGTGGATGTGGACACCGTGTTCCACACACACTCTTCTGTATCAACATATACACATATACACACACACACGGGATATATGAAGGAATTCAACAAATGCATTCAGTGAATCAACGTGTTTGTGAGACGTACTCAGGAATTAAAGTAACTCTCAGTAAGAGAAAAATAAAATTAAACACATTCAGTCTAAGTAGGCATCAATGCAATTGATTGTACAGTTTTCTGTGATTATTCGCATTATGGGGAAATTTGATAATAAATTAAAAAAATAATGTATTCTACACTTTTTTTAAGTACTGCGGAAGCACCTATGGAAACATTTGGTAATTACTGGATTAATGTAAACCATTTAAATATTAACCAGATAAAATATAAACCAAACCTGTTTACCACTGCCAGGGCATTAAGGTCTTACTAGTAAAACAGTGATTCTCAACCACACTAGTGTGTCGCGGAAAATTATCCAATTTCACTTAATTGGACCCAAAACTATTATTTATTCATTGCAAATATTTTTTCTTTGTTCGTCAATGCGTGACAAGCAGAGCAACTAAATCCTCTTCCGCTAGGTGGCAGCAGATAAAGAGACTAAAAACAGATAATCAGTGCTGTTCTTTATCTTTATGAGTATCTTTCTTCAATTCCTGTCAGTATATCAGCGTTTTCTTCAACTAAACAGGAGTCAGTTTAAAGTAGAATATTATTATATTTCATTACCTATACTTTTTGTGAGATTTTTGTATGGCGTTGTGCCGTTGGGTTTTTCCTGAGGATATATATGTGCCGTGGCTGAGAAAAGTTTGGGTAACACTGCTCTAGAAAAACAAGTTACCCTCGGAGAGTGGTCCTCAGTTATTTTCTGTCATGCCCCCCCCAGGGGACAAAAACATTTTCACACATCCCCAAATTGAAATACTATTAAGAACCTGGTTACATTAATCCCTCTAGTATCGCAGTAGTTGCGTTTCAAGACCCACGAGAAATGGGAAAAATAGCAAAGTAAAGGTGAGATAGTTACGTATATATGTACCCTTCACCAACCTCCCACACTGTTATCAACCCTCCCTAGACTGTATTACCCTTTCCCACACAATTAAATGCACAGTAGAGTTGAAGAATGGCGACGCAGAGCGAAGTAAACGAGAGACTGGCCGACAGACAAGGGGAGATGCTGGGAGGTGATATGATGCATGAGCCAATCAGTGTGAGGAACAGAAGAGCAGGCTCAATTAGCTAATACTCCACCGAGTACTCATTGTACTGGCAAGTAGCATGCTGTGTACGATCTTGTCTAGGTAAACAAAGCTACCAGCAATTGTTCGCAAATGCGCTTATCCCAATTTCAAAGCGCGAATCCACATTTTTAAAACCAAAACTAAACCAAAAGTTTATTTTTTGCTAGATTTCACAATATAGCAAAACTTTTGCAAGATCGAATTAAAAAAAAATCTGCGATGTACTGAGGGAGCGAAAGGAGAACCGTAAAATAGAGAGGGAACGCTGTATATGTATTTTCTTATCTGTAGAAACCACTGTATGAGTTGCTGCCACCTAGTGATTGGAGGCTTGTTATCAGTCAAGCATTGACAGCGGTGTCACACTCAATTCACCCCAACAGCCCACTGCGCCCTCCCAGGGGGGACTGCCCCAATATTTGGAAAGTACTGCCCTAAGACTGCAGTGCTAATGAGGACGTTAGAACAGGAGCATTCAGAGTGAGAACAACAGTTAACAGCTGTGTGTGTGTGTATTTGTGTAATAGACTAGACTCACAGTACATGGTTAATACGAATTTCAACTTTGCAGCAGTAACAAATACATTGATAAACTCCATAGTTCTACAGAGTATAAAAAAGAAAATGTTGATTTTAGACTTGCAACATTCAACAATTTCTACATTTTCTCCACTTTTCTATTCACGGCAGACTCTTCTACTCTGTCTCCAACTATCTGCTTGTCCTCCCTCACTGCATCCATATATCTCCTCTTCCTCTTTGTCTCCTACCTGGTAGCTCCATCTCTAACATTCTTCTACCACTGTATCCACTGTCCCTCCTCTGTACATGTCCAAACCATCTCAATCTGGCTTCTCTAGTATCATAGGCTTAAATGTAGTCTTTGGGCAATATTTAGTTCAGTTGAGATCTGTGTAAATGGTTGAAATCCTGTTTCATCCAATGTTTGATATTTTCCTGATTAAATAAAGGTTACCTTAAAAAATACAAATACACAGGGTCTATTGCAAAGTAGCCAAAAGCTCAGGTGGAACAAAAGAACAAGTTCTCTCTCTCCCTAATGCCTTAATTAATTAAGGGTAGCAATTATTTTCTGGCATCAATGCAGTTTTGTTTTATAATCATTATTTTGATACTCTGTTGCACATTCGTTTTGGCTAAAGGTTTTACACTGGATTCAATTCAATTCAATTTTATTTATAGAGCAAATTTCATATACCAGGCAAACCTAATGTGCTTTACAGTGGTTTGAACCATTAAAATATCAGGAGAGCAGGAAACAAAGAAAAAGAAAGAAGCGGTAACAGTGTTAAGCGCCCCCTGCCCTTATCGACCCTTGCATCGGCTGAGGAACAACTCCCATGAAAAAACCCTTAATAGGGTTAAAAAAAGGAATAAACCTCAGGGTGACAGACAGAGCAGGGTATCTTCATCTAGGACGGGCAGGCGGGCAGTAGCAAAACAAACTACAACTTCTACAGTAGTTTTCAGTACAGATGAGGCAGGAGGCAGGAGTATGGAGCAGTCCTGGATCCAGAAACAGCATCCAGTATCCATGGGGTCTAGGAGGGGAGGAAAACATAGAGACTCCGAGGACCAGAGGGTCCCCGGGCCAGCATGTTAACCCAGTGCA